TGTGTGTGTGTGTGTGTGTGTGTGTTTATGTGTTTAGTGTGAGAGCACAACCTTTCAATGCCACCTGTGTTGTTACTTGAGGACATCACACTGGCGCTTGTGATGACATTACTATGTGCAAGTGCATGTACTGCATTTATTGTATGTGTGTGTGTGTGTGTTTGTATTTGGAATACAGTGTCTATGTGTGTGTCATTTTGATGTGAGTTAAGCCTTATGACTGTGTGTATTTGTTGCCAAACACTGTGTGCATGTGTGTGTGTGAGAGAGAGAGCGAGAGAGCGATGCAATGCTATGAATGCTGAAGCTGTCTGAAAGGTTGAGCCTTTGTGCGTCAACCAGGCAGAGGTTATACATAGCTACAGGTGGGATGGAAAGTCAGGATGAAGGACCTACACACACACACACACACACACACACACAGGTATATATACAGAGACATATACATAAAACTGTGTCCAGGGAGTTATAGGGGAAAGAGGTTGTATCCAGAAGGTCGGGTATTTTCACATGAATTAAAGGAAACTGTTTTACTGGGCTTCCTTTTGTAACTTTCTGGGTCATAACTCATAACTCACTCTGGAGGCGTATGCTTCCACTGCCTTCCTCTTAGCAGAATGACAGGAAAACTACTTGAACAATGTTAATGAAACTTTATAGAAGGGGGCAGTATGGAACAACTTTTGGAACGGACTCAATTGATTTTTCTTAACAGTTCTTCTTTCCATTTTGGGACATTTCTCAACAAATAATATTGAGATATTTATTTGAAAATACACCATAGCAGGTATATTTAGAGTGTTAATATCTAAAACTAACTGGTGTAAATGTAAGCAGTTTGCAGACTTTCTCCATATATGGCCGATATATGCATCTGATCTCAATACACGTATAAGTAATATGGTGATACAGTGGCTTTGGTGGAGGTATGCATACCACACTCCTACCCTCATTTACCTGCAAGCTATGAATTGTGACCCACATGATTTCTGTGTGCCTCACCTTGACTTGGGTGTTCGGGCTTAACTTAACTCTTGTGGCTGTAATCTCCAGAGCGACAGCAGATATACAAATTAAATGGATAAAGACAACATGTTGTGTCTGGCATTAAAAGCTGCTCTATTTAATTTTCCACCACCCACTCATTCACACTAATTGTGCTGAGGCAACACCACCACATACTTTTATTGTGCACAAACCGATGCAGGAATTCTCAAAATATAGTTTTTTATGAGCTCTGTATCATAATGATAAGTATAGTACGTCCTTCATGTAGGCTGCTCCAAGATCGCATTTGTAATTTACTGGCGAAATGAAGGAAACAGCCACATGCATTAATTTGCTTAAAATGGAGGTAGCTAAACATTTAATGTACAAACTGATGGAAACATCTGTTTTTACATAATCAAATTGTCCTAACTTATTTAGCGTGTTTGTTATCTCATCTGACACTTCTAGCTCCTGCATTCTTCTTCGGGGAATGAGAAGTCAGGGACAGGTTTGAACTAAAAGAGTCATCATATCATAAACCCGCATCAGGATGTTGTCGTTCCTGCAGAGTTCGGATTGCATGAAACAATTTTATCTCTCAATGTTAAGTGTGTTTCATGTGTGAGAAACGAATGTGCTGTGAAATGGCGCAGGTGATGATGCTGTCATCTAGTCTCTGAGCTCAACTATCATTTTCAGTACTAGTACGTTGTCTGTTTGAAACCTGCCTGTTCTGGATGGGCTGTTTGCCTGGCATGCGTCTACCGCAATAATTATTTATTGTCATTAGTGAGTCCTCCTCAAACAGTTCTACAATATTACACAAAAAGTCTATGGTGCAA